CTTGTATACTGGTGGTAGACGCTGCTGGCAGCCACCACACCTTGTGTTGAGTCACATACATGAACGGTGGATCAAGCCTCCACCACACCTTGTGTTGAGTCACATACATGAACGGTGGATCAAGCCTCCACCACACCTTGTGTTGAGTCACATACATGAACGGTGGATCAAGCCTCCACCACACCTTGTGTTGAGTCACATACATGAACGGTGGATCAAGCCTCCACCACAACCTTGTGCTGAGTCACATACATGAACGGTGGATCAAGCCTCCACCACACCTTGTGCTGAGTCACATACATGAACGGTGGATCAAGCCTCCACCACACCTTGTGCTGAGTCACATACATGAACGGTGGATCAAGCCTCCACCACACCTTGTGCTGAGTCACATACATGAACGGTGGATCAAGCCTCCACCACACCTTGTGTTGAGTCACATACATGAACGGTGGATCAAGCCTCCACCACACCTTGTGCTGAGTCACATACATGAACGGTGGATCAAGCCTCCACCACACCTTGTGCTGAGTCACATACATGAACGGTGGATCAAGCCTCCACCACACCTTGTGTTGAGTCACATACATGAACGGTGGATCAAGCCTCCACCACACCTTGTGCTGAGTCACATACATGAACGGTGGATCAAGCCTCCACCACACCTTGTGCTGAGTCACATACATGAACGGTGGATCAAGCCTCCACCACACCTTGTGTTGAGTCACATACATGAACGGTGGATCAAGCCTCCACCACACCTTGTGCTGAGTCACATACATGAACGGTGGATCAAGCCTCCACCACACCTTGTGTTGAGTCACATACATAAATAAACAATTTATTTGAAACTAACAACCTTGAGTAATATAATAAACTTATTATATATAAAAATGTTTATTTAAAACTGTATTATCATAAATGTTTCCTTCAATCAGGAGAGAAGAAAAGTTTTGTGTCGCTCGCAGAACCAGTGGAAAAAACACATCAAAAACGTGGCCCACAAAGCAAGAGACAATGAGGAAACATCAACGAAGGAAACATCAAGTACAGAATATATACTGCGACAAGTGTATGTCTGTCAGCGTATATTGCTGAAAATTGACTTTATTCCTTATTGGTACAAAAAAAAAAGTTGTGTTGCAACCTCAATGATTTCGGTGTAGTAGATAGGCTTCAAACTGCATTAACTAAGCAGCCAATCATCATGGTGTTCTCTAAGCAAGGAAGTTCTGTCCACTGATAGATATTAATTTTCAGAAAATGTGTTCATTCGTTAAGACACATGTGCAACATCTGGTTATCTTTATTGTAGACGTTTCGCCCACCAGTGGCTTTATCAGTACAGAGTCTAAGACATAAAATACAAAAGATGAGGTAATTAATCCCTCAACCTTGGAGCTGGTGTGGAGAGCACCGTGGTTGTGGCGTGGGTATATCTAACAACCAACACGCCTGGAGGCTCCAGTCAGGGCTGGCGTGGGTATATCTAACAACCAACACGCCTGGAGGCTCCAGTCAGGGCTGGCGTGGGTATATCTAACAACAACCAACACGCCTGGAGGCTCCAGTCAGGGCTGGCGTGGGTATATCTAACAACAACCAACACGCCTGGAGGCTCCAGTCAGGGCTGGCGTGGGTATATCTAACAACAACCAACACGCCTGGAGGTTCCAGTCAGGGCTGGCGTGGATATATCTAACAACAAACAACACGCCTGGAGGCTCCAGTCAGGGCTGGCGTGGGTATATCTAACAACAACTAACACGCCTGGAGGCTCCAGTCAGGGCTGGCGTGAGTATATCTAATAATCAACACGCCTGGAGGCTCCAGTCAGGGCTGGCGTGCGTATATCTATCAACAACCAACACGCCTGGAGGCTCCAGTCAGGGCTGGCGTGGGTATATCTAACAACAACTAACACGCCTGGAGGCTCCAGTCAGGGCTGGCGTGGGTATATCTAACAGCAACCAACACGCCTGGAGGTTCCAGTCAGGGCTGGCGTGGGTATATCTAACAAAACCAACACGCCTGGAGGCTCCAGTCAGGGCTGGCGTGGGTATATCTAACAACAACTAACACGCCTGGAGGTTCCAGTCAGGGCTGGCGTGGGTATATCTAACAAAACCAACACGCCTGGAGGCTCCAGTCAGGGCTGGCGTGGGTATATCTAACAACAACCAACACGCCTGGAGGCTCCAGTCAGGGCTGGCGTGGGTATATCTAACAGTAACCAACATACCTGGAGGCTCCAGTCAGAGCTGGCGTGGGTATATCTAACAGTAACCAACACGCCTGGAGGCTCCAGTCAGGGCTGGCGTGGGTATATCTAACAACAACCAACATACCTGGAGGCTCCAGTCAGGGCTGGCGTGGGTATATCTAACAACAACCAACACGCCTGGAGACTCCAGTCAGGGCTGGCGTGGGTATATCTAACAACAACCAACACGCCTGGAGGCTCCAGTCAGGGCTGGCGTGGGTATATCTAACAACAACCAACACGCCTGGAGGCTCCAGTCAGGGCTGGCGTGGGTATATCTAACAACAACCAACACGCCTGGAGGCTCCAGTCAGGGCTGGCGTGGGTATATCTAACAACAATCAACATACCTGGAGGCTCCAGTCAGGGCTGGCGTGGGTATATCTAACAACAACCAACACGCCTGGAGGCTCCAGTCAGGGCTGGCGTGGGTATACTAACAAAACCCCAAAATAACCCCGGAGGGCTCCATCAGGCTGGGGTGGGGAAAATCTAACAGGGAACCAACCCTACCTGGGGGCTCCTCCCGGGGGGGCGTGGGGAATCTTTAAAAACAACCAACATACCGGAGGCTCCAGTCAGGGCGGGGGTGGGTAAAATCTAACACAACCAAACCCTACCTGGGGGCTCCATCAGGGCTGGGGTTTGGGAATCAAAAACAACCAACATTTTCCTGGAAACTCCAGTCAGGGGTTTGGGGTGGGGTTTTAAACTAACGCACCAACAACCGGAGACTCCATCAGGGGGGCTGGGTATATCTAAAACCCCCCAACATAAACCCGGAGGCTCCAGTCAAGGGGGGGCGGGGGGGTTATCTAACAACAACCAACATAAACCGGAGGCCCCCAGTACCAGTTTAAACCCACAATTTTAATCAAAGACCTCACATAAATTTTCCCCGTTTTATTCTTGTGATATACTTTTTTCCCCAATATAATTTTTTATTAAAAAAAATGAACAAAACAGCCACAACCCGGGAAAATATTTTCCCCAAACTCCGGTGGGGGGTTTTAGCTATATAACCCTTATTACTCAAAGAATTTAAAAAAAAAATAAAAATCGATTTTTGGGTTTAAGAACCGGTAATTTTTTTGTAGCATTAAAGATGTTTATATCCGGGAAAAATTTTAAACTGAACGTGGGAAATAGGGGGCAGTAGGGTATAGAACCTAAACACTCTCTAAAAATCAGGTTTTTTTTCTGGGAGAACCAGGACGTTAATGCAGGGAACATTTTTAACTCCCAAAGTTTTATTTTATGTCCGCAGAAGGTTGGTGTTAACTTTGTGAAAAGTTTGGAACGTTTTTTGAACTTTTTGAACGTTGTGAAAGTTGTGACGTTTTACATTCTCTCACTGGCGTTAATTTTTTCTCCCCAGTTTAAAAAACCCTTTACTTTCCGCTTCACTTGTTTATTTTCAGCAGTGAAACTCAGGGTTTAAAGAGTTTAATAAATTTCTTAACGAAAACTAAGAAAAAATAATTGTAACCCCCAACATTGAACCTGATTTTTATGCTAAAAAGAAGGGGAATTTTTCCCACCTCATTCTTAGTTTAAATTTTTTATAAAAACTGAACGTTTTCCCTTTTCCTTTTCATTGTAATTCTGGGAAAAGAAATTTTTTTTTTTTCAAATTTTTTTTTGCAATAATGAAAAGGGATTTTTAAAAAATTTTAATAAAATTTTAAAAAAATGAATTTAGTGAATAAATGTTTTTTAGGGGATCCACAGCGGAGCTTTTGGTCAATGAAACCACTTTCCTCCCCCTGGCTTAAACCCGGGCCCAAACCCATTTAAAACCTTTTGGAAAAAAATTTTAACCAAAATTGAATTATCCCAGAGAGTTTTTTTGCAAGTACCGACCAGTTTTTTCTCTTTCTCTAAGATTTTCCCTTTACAACGAGGGGGAAAGGGGAATGGGGTGGAGGTGGGGGGAGAGGTGGGTGGAAGGGGGAGGTAGAGGTTGGAAAGAGGGAAAGGTGGAGTGAAAGGTTTGGGGTGGAGGGGGAGGTGGAGGTGGAAAGGGGGAGGTAGAGGTGGGGAGGAAGAGGGAAAGGGGGAGGTGGAGGGGGGAGGTTTAAGGGGGAGGTAAGGTGGGGGTAGAGGGGCATTTGAAGTGCAGGTCGAGGTGCTAGAGGTGCAGGCGGGAAATGCGGGGCGAGTGCAGGGCGAGGTGCCCGGGCCCAGTGCAGGTCGAAGGGGCAGGTAGAGGTGCAGGAAAAGGTGCAAGTAAAAAAAAGGGGGCAGGGCCCAGGTGCAGGGAAAGGTGCAGGTCCCAAGTGCAGTAGAAAGGGGCAGGGAAGGTGAAGGGCGAGGGGCAGGTAGAGGGGCAGGTTTGAGGTGGGAATCGAAGTGCAAAGGAGAGGGGCAGGTAAAAGGTTTCAGGTCAAGGTGGGAGGTCGAGGGGCAGGTCGAGGTGCAGGGCGAGGGGGCCCGGAAAAAGGGCAGGTAGAGGTGCAAATTTGAGTCGGTCAGGGGAAGTCGAGTGCAGGAAAAAGGGGCAGGGGCGAGGGCATCGAGGAGCAGGGCAGGTGGGAGGCGAGGTGCAGGGCAAGGGGCAGGTTTGAGGTGAGGGCGAGGGGCAGGTCGAGGGGCAAGGGCGAAGTGCAGGGCGAGGTGCAGGTCGAGGTGGGAGGTCCCATGCAGGGCGAGGTGCAGGTCCGGGGTGCCGGTCGAGGGCAGGTCGAGGGCAGGGCGAGGTGGGATCGAGGTGCAGGGCGAGGTGGGGGTCGAGGTGCAGGTCCCAGGGGCAAGGGCAGGGGCCCGGTCAAGGTTTTTCAACATTTTAAATGAAAACTTTATAAACCCGAAAAAATCTTTATTTGGGTCACCAAATTTTAGGCTGCCGCAGGTTTCCCGAAACTCCACGCTGCCCTTTCGGGTGTGTCCTGACTCCACGCTGCCTGCAGTGTGTCCCGAACTCCACGCTGCCTGCAAGGGGT